TACTCGCTACCACGTCGTTTCATCCCTACGCAGCCATTTTTTGTCTACTTCTGGTAACGCTGCAATCGGCATCACTTGCGCCCAATCACCGATCATAAAAATCTGCAGTAATGGCGGATACAGGGGCGTCGTCGAACGCTGTCGATTAATTTTCTGTTCAAACATACATATTTCGATGTGTACATAGTCGTTACCACACACAACGAAATCGGGAACATAAAGATAAGAACGAGGTATCTGAAACTGATTGGAGCTTGAAAATTGATTAATTGTTTCGAGAGGATTCTGGGATTGTTAAGTTGGCAACATCAAAGATCGAAGCAAATTGTAGATTTTGGATGACTGGACGATATTCTAGGATCGTTGAGTTAGATAGGTAACGTCGACGATTGGCGGACAGTATTGGATTCTGGTTGATTAGAATGTAAATATCGTAAGGAATCGAGTATTCGAAGGAGAATGTAAGAATTGCTTTTAGTAAACGATTAAAAATAGACAACAGGTACTGGGCATAGTTTTTTGTTCATCAGAATCGTCAGTGTCGGATTTAGACAGATTTTAATGTTAACTGTTCCTCAACCTGCCTGTTTACTCTTCAAGATTTGATCTTGCTGATATTCCGGTTCCAGAACACGTCACCTTGCCAACAATTATCGCGATGACAACGATGTTATTGCTCTCTAGATCCCCTTCTAATTTCAAAGTCATCGCGCGCGTACAGCATTTTTAGGTGGTGTATTACAATCGTCACTGACTTCACGTATGAGATTATTTTCCTTTGTTTACTAACTGTATCAATTTCTACTACTATAGTATCCTTCTCCGACTAAATTAATTTTTTGTACGGATTATATAAGGTGATACAAAAACAGGGTTCGTAACATCTGGAATAGATAGTATGTACTCGCGAAACGTTAAAAAAAAGTCTCGATAGACATAGGTCGAAAAATTAATATTTTCAAAGTTATAAACACTTTTTTGTTTCCTTTAAACCGTGTGGAAACAATGAAGAAAATTATTTTAACAAACTAATAAAAACTGTATGAAATCTTCTCTAACCAGGTGTTACGAGACGAAGGCTAAAGAGGATTCCGACTTTTATTATAGCCCAGGATCGGTTGTTCGAATTGTTGTTAGTCGTGGAACAGGAAACTAAATACTTGTGCAGTTTAAGTGACTGCGCGAAGGGGACTCGTATCCGATCTTGTTCAAATTCTCTTGCAGCCTTATATATATCCAAAAACTAGAATGGAAAAGTGGTGGGGCTGATGCTCCAGTTCCATATAAGGTCATGAAAAACTCTGCAGGAGAGAGGTCCTTCTAGGAAGTCAACTCTACCCTGCAGAAGAGTTTTCTTCTAGGAAATCATGATTCCCCAATGTTGCCGTGGCTAACAATAAATACTCTAAATAAAGTATGATTCCAGCTTCGAAAAGGATTATGCAAAGTTCCGGAAGGAAGTTGGATGTAACACAGGAAAAGAAAAAAACGATAAGGTAATCTGTTGTTTTCATACAGTACAATACGCTCCCGAAACAAGGAAGTGACTAGCCTTAACCGAAACAAAAAATTGTTTATAACTTCGAAAATATTAATTCCATTAAAATATGTTCTCAGGACTTCATTTTTATTATTCAACGAGTACTATCTACCCCGAAAGTTACAAACCCTTTATTTTTGTATCACCCTATATAAACGTGGAAATCAACGTCAGCCCAGAGAATGATCGACGGATAATTCTTAACCGTAAATCATCGACTATCGATGAAATCCTGCACAGAACGTCAGAAATGATGTTTTTATAACCTTCCGTTTGCTCTAGATTCCACTAACGTCACGAGACATTATTTGCAAAGATTCAATCTCGATTTTCTCGATTTTGCCGACAGCCTCGATTCTGTTATTTGTCGCCGTGCACACAGCAAACGTTCGCGCGCGCGCAAATGCTTCAAGGCTTGTAAGTAGCTCCGTAACACTTGCTGCTATATGTATATTGATAACGCACGGTACACAGGCCGCGTTCCGCGTGTAAACACACGTCTTCGGTGCTATCGCAACCTGACGTCATCGAGGGTACAGATAAACGGGGTATCCGTCGCGGCACAGAGAAGCGAAATCACGGCGCGATGAATCGACCGTTGGCTGCTTCGTCTGCGAAACGTGCCATCGGAGGGACATTGAAAGTCAAATGTCTGACCCTGGGGTCTTGGAGCTGGTTCGGTAAAGAACAATTTCAGGTTAGGTCGTTTATTCTCGAGCCGTTGCGAAGGTGAGTGTCTTTTATGATGTACATACTTCATTAAAATATTGCATGTTAACTCTAGAAAGACGGACATGTGGAAGGCGGAGCTGGGTCATTTCTGACCCATACCGAAAATTCGAATTATTTCACAAACGATTGAACACGTTTTAGTCAGTATTGTAGCGTAGGCTTAAAGTCCGGGTCCCGAGTGACCCACGTTCGGTATCGGAGGATTAAAGACAAAAGTAAAATGTCTATAGAATAAATATTTTTGTTAATCAACCGAAGGAAACGGAAAAAATGCTATAGGTTTGATAAAATATCATTACTCCCATTCGATGTTAATACCTAGTTTCGTTTTTATAAAAAAGAATACAATTTTTATCAAACATTTGTACGCCTATAGAAGGTCATAGCGGTTGTAATATACGATCCTCTAATTATTCCGAGCAGTGTGCACGGTCACACTGCGGTACTAATACATATCCTAAGAAAAAACCAAAGTATTCTGAAGTGCAAAAATTTCAATCGATTCCTACCCCCGTATAAAATCTACGAACCCCCTAAAGAGAAGAAACCACGTCTATTATCAGCAAGCTCGGAATCCCATGCAATCGGCGATTCCGAGTCGATTGCAAGAGATTGCAGCAACTGGAATCACGCGATTCTTCATCGGCAGCAGATTCGAAGTGGATTGCTTCATCGCGGACACGTCAACCGGCGCCACGGACCAGAGAGCTCTGGAAAACGTTTTCGAACGATCCGCGAAGTCTCGACGTCGCGATCTGATTTTTTGTTTTATTTCCCCTCCCCCCTGCCACACCGCCACTACAGGCCCCGAGGCGTTTTTATGCCGTGCCAGAAAGCGACAGTGATCGGTATATACGAAAGGCGGCGCCGGAATGTACGCTAGAAAGTGGTTCTCGGGTCTGGGCGATGTCGATTCCGGCGTGTCGTGTGCCGGTCGGCTCGGCTACGCTTGCCCAACGCGCTCGGACCGCGGTTATTTATATTTATGCCGTCTCGACCGGGCCTCGCACGACGTTGTATTTCCGCGGTAATTACGTATTCGAGCCGCGTCCGAGTTCTAGCTACGATCCCCGCGATCAGCGTCCGATATCTGTTCACGCTTCTCGAAATTCGTCGATACTCGATCTAACTGGGCGAAACTGGTTCCCCCTGTGAAGGTAAGTTTTCACGTGGACAGTAAAACTCGTGGTTTTTGTTGTCGTGACACTGTACGACAATGGAAATGAACGTCACGAGAACTCGACATCTAGTTTTCATGACGAGAAAAGTTACAACATTTAGTCTCGTGACTGTAAAAGTTATGATTTACTGTCACGTGAAAACGTACCTTACGGATTTTCGGCAATACTAAATAGTTCATTCGAGAAATGACGAAATGTGTTTGACAGTACCGGTATCCAGATAGCACATGACGCCTTGAAGACGGTTTAAAGACGCCTTAAACCTAAAACAGCCGTAAAATAGGCGTCTTCAAGACGTCATGTGCAATCTGGGTATAACCTAAAAATCTTGTAGTCAATACTTCGTCTGACTAGGTTAAATAAGTGTTATCGAAACATTCTTACCGTTGAAATCTAGAGCTAGTTGTATCTAAAGGAAACTAATGACAATCTAATAACAATAGATAAACAGACGAAAAGACAAGAATGGAAATCTATCTGACGTTGAAGAAACATTTGCAACTCTTACCCGTGATTCCAGTCAGTACTAATCCTGAGTAGTCGATACTGTAAACATATTCACTTAAACACTCTTTTCGTTAATATCTAGTTTTAACTAACAGTATATAGTTAAGTATAGGATAAACTGGTCAAAGCAATTTTCTACGAACGAGATTCGAACAAATCGATATCATTCGATGGCTCGAAAGGTTACCGACACGGTCCGCTCGCCACGAATTCGTTATCGCGACGCTCTCGACCGATACGATACGTCGTCGGTGGTCTCGCGTCAAGGAAATCAGCCAGCGACGTAACGTGACGACAGACACGCGTGGTTGCAAAATATTTACAATGAGAAACGGTGTCGTTCCGCGCGGGTGTGAATAATATAAATATTTACCCGCAAAACAAGCAATCGCCAAATCGATGATTCGTCAGTGGGGTTCCTCGAATATATGTGACGGATATAAACTGATATTATCCGGCGACTTCGCCACCCGGTGTAATCTATGACTAGCAACCTGACCGGTCATCGTTGGATTCTCATGAATCGTGGAGTGCAATTTCGTGTGACGTCACGTCTGCGATCGAACGCCAAAGGCCTTGCTTTAACGGAGAGAGGGGGGGGGGTCGCGTGACGATTCTCCGCATCGTCGATTCCATGTAACCGATTTTAAAAATAAACCACGATGTATTACATTCCACGACCGAAAATACACGAGAAACGTAGAACGAAGCGTAATTCCCTAGGAAATTCGCCTTAATACATCAGAGCAGCGTGATCGACTGTATGCAAAGGTTCCATAACCTCGCTAACGAGGCTTCGAACGTGAAAATGTTATCTCACGTCCTCTGTCTATTTTTCCACGCAGAATCAGTTTGTCCTTTGTAAAACTCTTCTTTCTAGATAACAATCGTTATCCGCACGAATAAGGGCATTCCGCATGCAAACACATATACACACACAGCGCAGTTAATCGTTGAGCAAACGTCGGGAACGAGATGCGTCTCACGCGAGGATTCCAGATACGGGGAGGCAGAGATAACGTAGAGAGAATAAGACTCACCGATCGTGGTGAATTTGAATCTCTTGATCCTCGGCAGAGTGGCAGTGGCGCAGATGCGCGTCAAGGCTGGCATGGTGCTGCTGTTGTTGCTGTCTCGGTCTATCAACGTGCTCGGTCGTGTCGTGTCCGACGATGCTTCCAGTTCTGGGACGGCGGCTCGTTTGACGGCTCTCTCCTCGGTGCCAATCACCTCTACGGCTAACGAACGCATCCTCCGTTGACGCGTGTAATCTCGTGACGCGACGCGATGGTATGTATCTATGGTGTGTCATTAAGCCGTGACGTGAGGTGTCGCGTGTCATTAGCCAGCACAGCGAATTGCAAAATTTTCCCGCGACACGATACGCAGGTAGATTGACCAACGGGCAACCGTTCGCAGCCTGACCCATATCTGACCCACGGTCTCCATTGTTCCCGAGAGACTGTGTATACACTCTTGGAAGGAAAGGTTGACACCTTGAGGCGAAGTCTGTTTGTAAACTGCCATCGATCTGTTTTTAGGGTTCGTTGGACAATACTCGAGGGTCATGGTACAGTGAGGTTAGTAGACTCGACCGCGGGCTATAAACGGAAGTTTGGGTCTAGCGGTCAACAGATGGCACCCATGGGCGGAAGGAGAGCGATACCTGGATACTGGCCATTGTTGGAAAGAATTCCCTTTCGAAATTGCTTCTTTTTTTGCAACAGTTCTGAATGTTTTGGAAGTGACGAGCCAGGACAGAGATCTTGCTAAGTCGTTACCGCAGAGTTTACCTGACCTACCCCCTAATCGGTGGAAAGTAATATATGTATGTGTAATCGTGGTAGTGGGTAGCGTCCTTTTATCCAAGTGATTAGATCCTTGATAAGCTGGTCCTATCGATATCAGAGGACGCATGGCTGTATACAATGTACCGTTTCAGCCTCTTAACAAGAGTAACTATAATTCTATTGCTGGTAGGTATACTACAGGTTCTGAATGGTAATTTTAACATTAAATCGAACCTGAATGTATACTTCCTCTAGTCCCTATCACGGATGTTCTACCACTGACAAGGCAAAGTAATCGTCTATTTACATCGCTGCACTTTTACATTCCGCTTCTCTGCTCTCCGTCTCCGCCAATCACGGCGGTTTAATTTCGGACCTGCCAAGTGTCGCCAACTTTTGTCGCATCACGAAGAAAGAACGTGATATGGCCTAACGTACTTCCGTCGCGGACTCAGCAACTCTGTGCGCGTGTTCTCGATGATCGAGCAGAATTTCGTTGAATGGAAACGAAAGCGAGAGCTTTCCCCGCGGCCGGTAGGTACATATTTTCGGCCCGGGAGCGACCTCGAGACTGGATCGGGGGCGGTGGAAAAGAAAAAAAAAATTGGAACAGCGTCGAGGTTGCATCGTCTCTGCTGCGTAAAGCGGACGCTCGAATTAAAACAGCGAGACGGGCGGAAGGTATTCCTAACTTGGTTGCACGAGGTGAATTTCTACTGGTGTGTAATCGAAGAACAATGGGTTAATCACGTGGAGCGTCGTTTCGATCGATTATTCATCGCTCTACTATTCAACATCGATCAGCGATTCTTACGAGTCGTTCCACGCTTGCGCGCGGGCACACACACAGATATACACGATTCTTTGTAATACTGCTCCGTTTCCTAGATTTCGACATCATGCTTGGTGTCTTTGATGACTTCAGAATTATTAGTATACCGTGTCATCTAAATAGTGGATTTCATAGTGTAGAATACACTACAACGAACATATTTACAGGGACTAGTATTTACAGTACACATTTCCAGCAATAGATGATTCTGACGTCTGTAAGGTATCTTATGAAGAAAATGGGATTTTGACGAAATATCGCAAACACATTGGGACCCAATTGAAAATAAATAACAGTGATCGGAAGTGACTTGTTGCCCAGTAAACGTAATTACAATTTTCAGGCAGACAAAGGAGAAACCTAATTGGATAAAAATACATTCTGAGTTATCAGGTTCACTGCCAGTTTTGTACAACTCTGATTCACGAACCTAATCACCTTCCTCTGCCAAACTCAAAGACTAACGAAACAACACCAAGGATACACTCGAAAAAAACGTCCACCGCGACACGTATCGGTTCTAGTAACTTAAACCGTCACGGCTCAACGACACACCTGCTTGGTCCACGTGGTCGGGTAATGTATTCTCTCTGGACTTACTCATCGACGACGGCCTCTTCACAGCAGTACCGGCGAGCAACAGCCCCGACGATGGTTTACCACGATGGTTCACCGCTGACTGGGCCGTGCTCGCCCCGGCCAGGGATATCTTAGCGCTCATCCTCGCGATGGCGGCGATGGCTGCTGCGCCGATTCCTGCGATCCTGACTCACGTACCGGGAAGTCGGTTTCGGAGGTCGCGCTGTCATACCTCCGCGTTAAATCACGGCAGGACCTTCTCGCCGCTATTATCCAGACGGAACCGCGTCTCGATACGTGTGGCCCCAGGTCGGTCTCGAGTCTGCTGATTGGGAATCTGTAAAAGGCGGAACGTGAGAAGCTGTTCCGTTTCAGGCTTGCGGAGACCCCGACGCATGTATAGAGTGGCTTGTACTACAGGGCTACAGTAAATTCGCGATAACTGCGCGAAAGGATCTCTACGTTAAATGCTTCTGCTTGATCCCCACTGAGGGGTCTACACTGGAGGTTACGGTTCGAAATACAATTCATGGATTGTGTCAATTTACAAAGTACAGAAATCGTGTCCCTCTGTGATAACTGCTCAAAAACGGTTCCGAGCGTTAATGGAAGATTTATTGTACCTGTTATGAGGAACCGAAATTTTAGACCCTATCAGTTTTAGTTGCGGTTCTTATATCAGGTCCCATATGAATTTTATAATCGTTATTTTTTAGGTTCTATATCAGTTCCAGAATGGTTACAGAATTGATTCTCGCGACGATTGTACAGGATTTTACAATGAATGAAATCGTAATATACAAAGACCCAACACACAGCGTACAAGGACACATGCCACCTAATCCATGTCAAACGATCCATCGACACACACACGAGGACTCCAGGGAATCCTTGAACGAGTTCCTTAATCTCGATCACGAAGAAAAATCACGACGGTGACCACGTACCAGGAGGTCGAGACCAGACGTCCTCGAGGCATGGTCGATCTCCCACTCGATCCTCAGTCGGTATCCTCAGTCATCGTTCGGCTGTAGGAACCGCGGATATGCTTCTCCATATCCAGTGTTCGAGAAGACTTCGAGGGAGGGGAAGGCAATATTGAAATCTCGGCGAAGGGATCTGAAACGAAGAGGAAATCCTTGTTATTCAACGATCTGTCATCCTGGTGGACGAAACCACGTGTCCTAGCCCCGGTTCCTCAAACTGAATCACGGACTCGGAAGCTGGGACACGAAGGTCGAGGAAGTAAAGCAACTTTAAATCACAACTAGGTCCTTCTGTTAACGATCTCGACCGATCCTTGCCCAGGGATCACCATATTCGACGGATTAACCCTGATCAGGTAGCTCTCTTCCTGGCCAGCTGGAATGGACCACGTGGTCGAACGAGGAAATTTAAGAAAAACAAACAGTTGTCATTCGTTGGTTTCGTTATTGGTCTTTCAGGTGTACCAATTAAGTGTAATTCTATATTCGTTGCAAAATAATTCAGATACCTAACCTCTTTGAACAATATTCGTTATTTGTTCCCATTGTCCTTCGCCATGTTGACCGAATAGAGGATTGGAAAGATATTCATTTGAATCTAAAATGTATCGCCAGTATATTGGAACTATAGTGAATTACTTATTGGTACACATGGACGTTGCTAGGGGAGGAGTTCACCTCCCCAAGAGAAAAAGTGGTCTTTGCCATACCCTAGAGGGGACAAAATTAGATTTTGCTCCCTCCCCGAGAGGAGAAAAATATTATATCACCTAATATTTTGTATGTAAAAATAAATCTAAAATCTATTTAAAGTAGTATTATGAAATTCACCTTAAGATTAATTTTGTACCCTCCCCACTTCCCCCATCTGGTACACCTGACAGATAGTAAAATTCATAGGCTGATGATATTGCCCAATGTTATAGTCGAAGAATTCTCCTGATCTCATGGTAGACGAAATGTTGTTGGTGGGGGATAGTATAACGTCTTGTTTATACGGGAGTTGATGGTTTAAAGGTAACTGGTATTAGAAATTGAATAGGTATATACCCGTAATATTGAATATCAATCGGCCAACGTGTCTGTTATTCATTATTTCTACCTGTCAGTGGCCGTAAACACTGACAGTGATACGGTTTGATTTATCCACGGTAATAACTTGTCACGAACTGATTATTAGAAAGCGAGATCGGCGACGAGTAGATAACGCCGTAACACTTCAACGTTTCGAACACGTGGAAACGGTGAGTAATGGACAGACGCGATTACAGAGACGATTGGAACAGGGTGAGAGCACTCGACGAGCTACCAAAATTCATTATCTCGGTGATAATGTGTCGAATAAAGGAAAGCCAATTTTAGCTGGAATTTACGAAACTATACAAAACACGAATGATTTGATTTATAGCTAGAGTTGGGTAAGATTTCATTCGAACAACAAATGGTGAAAAGCTGCAGTATCTGAAGGCATCATTCTGAGCTTTAAACAGTTAATGAGATTTAAATAATTGCTTGCCAAATGTCGACTCTACCTAATCCTCTCTCTAACCTAACCCAGACTCATTCAAGAAGTACTATTATATTATAAACATTGGAATTTCCACGTTTAAACGATTGAGAAAGATGAACTACTTTTTCATCTTTTATTCGTTACTCGAAATAGTTTATCTAGAATCTAGATAATGTAGTTGCCCGATCTCTGATAATAGCGGCTACATTCTTGTTGCCTCGTTACAAGGTCGCAGTAAAATGACGAGCTTATAAAGAGACAATCATCAATCAATGCAATTTCTTCCTTTTTCGAAGTCCACATCGATTAAAATTAATCAGTTTTAACCCTCGAAAGAAACAGACGACCGTACTAACAATGGTCCATTATAACCCCTACTCACGTTGTTCTCGCGATCCATTCTCGAACGTCCTGGAATATGCTTTGTTGATGTACGTTGGTCACCCCATACAAACTTTTTAACCTTTAACTACAGGCGAATCATCTCAGCGATGAATAATTTGACAACAACTTCGTAATACTTTCAACAATCAACCAAATCTTAGTTTTCGTCGCCGTTTTAGAAGTAACGTGCCGCTTACTGTCAATTGCCGGTACTCAAACGCCAGAGCTTCGTAAATTCTCCACCAGGTGGCGCCAGTGGAAGAAAAATTCAAATTCGTCTACGATTAGGAAAAATCAAATTGGCGCCTTTCGTTTAACATTAGTAAAATCATAAACAATTCTACCTCGACAGGTTTCAGGACGATAAATCATTTTTGCAATACGAATGATTTTTAATTATAAATAAATAATTAACCACGGTGGTCAAACTGCGGACATAATTTTCTTAAACCCTTACTGCGACTCCCGTATACTTATACAATATTTTTTTATAAACCTGACACATACTACGTAAGAAGCAAAACTTCATTTCTTCAGGGCCCATCCCATTCAATTTTACCCTGAAGAAACGAACGAGCACTTAATCATCCGATGGTCGAGTGTCCCCCCGACACGGCCGTGAGAGTCCACCGATGATCACGAATATAATTTCGCGGGTGGAACAACAGACCACGGAAAAACACGAGGGACATCAGAGCAGGGGCAGCAGCCGTTGACTTCTTCTTTGACTCATTGTCGGATGTCGGCGAACGCGGTCGCGGACCGGAGGGCCTTGAAGAGGGAACAGGAACTTCGCGCGGGCTCGGCGCCAAGGCGAGCCAGAATTATATCTACGTACGTACCGTGGTCTCTTTGTCCGAATTTTCTGGTGCATCAACAGCACGGGGTTCTTGTAAACCTATACCCGATTGTTGTTAAACAACTGTGAGTCACCGGAGATCCGGTTGATCCTCGAGAAACTGATCACTCTTTTGGCATCTTGGCGCAACGAATGTTTCGATGTAGTTGTACCATAAGATTAATAGTGAATTTACATAATTTAGTAAAGTGGTAAGATTGTTGTGAGTCGTAACTAGTGATGGGCGATATAGTATCGATATTTCGAATATCGACACTTTTCAATTCAAATATCGATATTTTCTATTGATATTTAATACGACGACATATTTCAGTATCGATACTTAACCTATAAATATCGAAATTCCGATACAATCGGTATATTTGCCGTAACGTAACAAGTCGTAAGGAGAATTGACTAATCGTGGGATTCCCATAAAGCTTGCGATTTGATGATTCATCTTCATGATTTATTTTGAATGATTAATCTTCATTTTTCGATTTTATTACATCCAATTTAATTGCAAGTATCGATACCGATAATATTGATATTTTATTCCCCGATACCAAATATCGATAACACTGATTTGTATCACCATCACTAGTCGTAATTATTCGTACTGAAATTTGTGAATACAAAATGGATGATACATAAATCCACCCTCATTTATAGTGGACCGTAACACGAAGGCTCTTCATTTTCACTGTATACTTCTTCGGAGGCATTAAATTTACGTTTATAGCGAATAAATGTCAGTGCGTTGTTTCAGGAGGACCGCAATATATCGTAACGGGATTGTGTTCCTTCCTATGAACTTTGCTTAAGGTCAGCTTGAGTCAGTCGAAGGTCAGGGGTCAGAGCTGCAGCCGTGAACCTCCTATCCGCGCAGTAAGATTAAAAACCGTATGTTTCATTGAAAGAACTAGTCCAATTCTTCAAAAATATAATTACGCCAACGCCCAATAATGAAGGAGTAACATTTTGAGCCTCTTTCTTCTATCCTGTCAAGTCGCTACATTATTAAATAAGACAAGAAGATGACAGTCCTTTCCTTCCCAAATAAAAGAATCAACAACCAAGCGTTTCTTTGCAAAAATACACCAATTCTTGCACTTCTTCAAAAAAAAACTACATAAACAACCTCAACTCCCAATAAAAAAAAAAAAAAGAATTCACATTCTTATCCCGTCTCAAGCCATCATACCAATAAGACGAAAAGATCAAACGGAGGACACTCTTCTCCTTTCCGTCCATCTTCCTAATTGGTCCCGACCTTTCAGCCGTTTTAATGGAAACCCTCTCATATCAAGATTTAATCGTGTCCAGTCACGAAAGTAATCACGGAAGGAACCGTTCGGCGAAAGAGATCTATACATACGTACCACCAGGAAACCAGAAGCAAAGGGGAAACGCAGAAAGAACCT